TTGAACTTCTGATCAACATAATGAGATTTTTGAAGGTATTTTCAAATCGGATGAGCTCACAAAAATGTAAATATTTTTGAGAAATATGACGGCGAAAGTCTTAAAATATAACAAATTATATAATTTTTTAGCAAGGAAAGTGATGCACCCTAATGTACATACATACATATATGTATTATAGTAAGTGTATGTACATTAGCGGCCATTATCCTCCGCCCTATACTCAATGGTTGGTGGTTGAAACTTCAGCAAAATTGTCCAGCTGTTGGTTCAGTCACCGTCTCGATGATGGCTGTTTATTATTGTTTTTGTTGCTATTTGTTGTCACGTTGACAACCAACGCCACTCACACGCTCTATTTGTGTACAGAAAATACGCACACATACATACATATTATGCACTGCATACTCACACAAACCCAATCATTTTCGGTTGATTGTAGTCTGCTTTTAGGGGTGACAAGCTTTTCACTTTCATTCTTTTAATTTGCGTTTATCTGCCCTGAGGGTGCTTCACAAACAGCAATAGCAGTAACAACAACAGCAACAGCAACTGCGTGTCTATATTGATTGTGTGCTCAACAAATAAACTAAGGCTTCACAGCCGCCCAACAACTCAGCTTATACTTGCACGCAGATGCATATGTATGTATGTATTCACCCCACCTCCTTCTTATCCTTCATCACATGCTTTTCATTTTCATTCAGCGCTTTTGCACTTGAAAGTTGACTGCTTTCGCTGATTGTGCCGCGTTGATAACTTAAAATTGCGGGATAGATGAATGAAGAAGCAGCGTCGGCGACGCAGGAAGAACGCGGCGCTCAACACAGCCACCCCATATTAAGCAGCTATACAAATATGCCGTTGGGCGATGAGACACACACTTACATTTATATATTTTATTATTTGTATACACACATATGTATGTATGTTTCTATGTATGAATCTGGCAAAATATATGCAAACGCATTAATGTCCATCTCCGTCGCTTAGCTTGGAATCTGCCATTTGCGTTCCATTGGGTTTGGCATTGCTGTGTTAATCCGAGGGGTTGTTTGCCTTTGCTTTTCGCTGCTGGCTTTGTTGTCTGTCAACGTGTGGGGGTGCAAAACGGCATCAACGCGCGGACATTAGCGTTGCAAGTAACTCTTAGACAGCAGTGTCGTTGAGCATCTTTAATGAAATGCTTATAAACCTTACCTTACCTCCGCTAACCCCCTTGTCCACGCCATTGTCCACTCTCACCGTTTTGCGTAAGCATCCGCTTAACGCTCTCGAAGTCCCAAATGTGTTGAGGGATAAAAGTTCAATAAAGTAGAAGTAGTCAAACAAAAAAAAGTAAATGAAATCAAAATTAAACGGAAAATGCAATTTAAATTAAATTTGTGCCACATATCATGGATGCGCTGAGCCGGAAGGAAAGCGAGGGTGATTGAATGAAATATTCATGGAAGTTTTTAGTTTGATTTCTACACATGGATATATGGCGCGACAGAGGCAGAGGTTCATGTGAATATCTGAGATCCCACATTTTGAGGACTTCTTTTGACGTAGAATACGTCTTACGTTTCGATATGGAGACTATGCTCCAATGTTGTAGTTGTAATTTTTAGAGCTTCACGAAAACGCTTATTGCACGAGAACTAGTGAAGCGATTTCAAAGAAAAGTGTGCCGTTTCAAAGAAAAAAGTTCCAAACCTATCGACAGATATGTTTCTGCAAGTAACCAATTCGGTTTCTGTCGTAGAAACAACGGTAAATATTGGCTTATTTTTCAAATTTGAGCCTTTAAAGTCCTCTAGCAACTTATGATTTGTAGATATAACTTTCATTTTTGGAATATAGGTTCTTTGGTGCAATAGAAATATTATCGTGTACAAATTTAATATAAATTCAACAAATATCTACCATTTTAAGGCAAAAAATTTTTGAAAAAATTTTAAATTTTTTTTATTACCAAAATTCTCGAAAACCGCTCGAATGATTTTGTTTTTGTTTTCCTTAATCAAAATTTCAAGTTTTTTCCTTTCGTATAGTATATGGCATGTATTGGTTAATATCATCTAAGCATGTTTATTTTATTCCAATATATGGGCATAAATGATTTTCCATACAAAAGCACTTCGTCATTTTTATAAAAAAGAGTTGCCACCTGATAAAAAATGAAATTCAAATTATTTTTAAGTTAAATCAATTATTTCACTATGAGTATCAATAAAAATGGCTTTGAAAAGGCTTTATTTCTTAATTGTATGTAGGAGGGTTACCACCTGTTTCAAAAAGCAAGTTCGACTTAAATGAAGGCAGAAAAATTTAAATGTATATCCTGATATAGATGTCCAACGAAAGAGGTTGTGGTTTGAACATATTTTGCAGAGGGTTGCCACCTTGTTACAAAATTAGATTCAATATAAGCAATAGGTTAAATAAATTACTTCGATATGAATATATGTAAATCAAAATGGCTTTGAAGAAATTTTATTTTCAAACTGCATGTAAGACGGTTGCCACCTGACTTTATAATTAAATTAAAATTGAACTAAGAGGATTAGATAATTTAAATATGTATCACAATACAAGTGTCATACGAAAAAGGTTTAACGAGGTTTTGGTATAAAAATAATTTGAACAGGACTGTCATCTGTTTGAGAAGTCGAGTTAAATTAAATTATATGAAATATTGAAATATTCGCGCCAAACAAAGGAGTATTAAGAAAAGTTTAGTTTCGGCATTTATAACATTAAATAGGATTTCCACCTGCGTAAAAAGTTAAACTCAATTTATTTAATAAGTCAAATGAATTATTAAAGTATGGGTATAAATTGACATTCGTTGAAAATGTTTTTTCTTAATTTTATTTAAGAACATATTCAAACATATTCACTAATGAATCGATGCTGGATGAGAAGATGTATAGATGGGTTGTCTTTTGCGAAGAACTCTCCATCAACTTGTAATTTAGACCGCCGAACCACTGCAGTGGTTTTAAAGCATCGGTACCCGCAATCAAGAAAACAGCGAACTGGATGCTTACAAATATAACACCTTTAAAAGAGGTAAACGTATATTTCGATAGTCAGTTGGCAATCATAGCCAAAACTCATCGACGATACCTTCAAAAACGCCAATTGGAAATGCCAAGTGAAGCCAAGTCCTTCTCTACTTGATCTTTCCATCTCAGTGGGGGCCTCCCTCTTCCTTTACTACCACGAACGGGTTCCAAATCGAATAGTTTCAGAGGAATAATAAATAAGGAAATAATGGCGGCTACGCCGGCCTGCTTCTGAACAGATGGATTTTATTCAGCTCAGTTATAGGTGTTCCTTCTCCTTAAATTTAGACGTACTTGTTATAACCCCCACCTCTCCATGCAAACTAGCTTTCTGTGTTGTCGGTCAATCATTAACTGCCTGCTCTGGTGACAAGATTAGCTCCTTCAATAAAATTTCTACGAGGCAGAGTGTTGAATATGCTACTTACGATCTTGTATCTCTATTTCTCGTACTCGTATCACCATGAAGCAACAAAAGCACACTTGCACAAATTTCTGAACATCAGCCGATAGGTCTATGGAAAGTTTTTTTACTCCTGATGGGACGACTTCCATCTAAAGACGGTGTTGAAATTTCCGGTCGAAGCGGACGGACTATGCAAGTAGATGCACTACTTTCCCTGGCTAGAGGTCTGTCTGATGGTAATCGGACGAAAAACAGCAACCTCTTTGAAATAGAGTATGTACAAATGGTATAGTTTTGACTCTGGTCTCTACCTGTTTCGCGGACTCTGCATACCAGTAAGCCCAAATTTTCCTGATTTGGCTAAATATGTTCTGTTATCAGTGTACGTAGCTCTAACTACCATCTCCATGGATCAAAAGCAGACTAAATTTGGCGTCAAATCTTCGCTATTTGTTTCTGATGGTTCTTGAGAGCATCAGTGTTTCTTTTGAGTATTGTTGATTCAAATACCTAAGAGTTACTTCCAAATATAGCACTGAAAAGCAGCGCGAATGCTTTCAGTTTGTATGCGAGTATGTAAGATCTATAGAAAGCTTTGAAAAGCTTTTCTTGTGGAGCTTTTTTGAAAGCTTAAAATAAATTTTTTTTTATAATTTTCGGCCAAAAATTTTCGTGCAGTTCGAATGATATCAAAATCGATCAGTTATACGCTAAGTGCATGCCTCGATAAGCAGACTCGTAAATGCTTATATTTCGTGTGCATGTAAATATAGCAAATTATTTTTCCTACTCATTTTCAGTGCCATGTGTGCGGCCTATAAAAACTCAACTTTTTTCGCAAAGCTTGTAAAATGTTTGCTATTCGGCTTTTAGCGTGACAACGACTGTTACAACGGCTGCCCATATGTACATATTTATATATACATACGAATCTGTAGAATCATATGAAAGTACAACTGCTCTAACAAAAAAAAAATACTAGGAGCAGATCACAGTCAGCGAGATAATTGAGTAAAGTCCCCCCGCACTTGAACACTTACACAACATTTTTTCTTACCGACGAGCCCCAGTGGGTAAGTGTGCGCCACTGCCATTTATTTGCTGTTTTATATACCCGAACACATGTATGTATACCTTTATTAAGACCTAAATACATACATACATATGTG